TGCTTTCAAAGCTAACTGAAAAGGATTTTGATTTTGTTACAGTTTGATGTTAAAACAATATTTAGCTTCTCTTGTGAAAGAAAATCAGTTGTTTGCCTACATCTGAACCTGCTGACCAGAAAAAGGAGGAAGGACCCACTCCAAACAAAAGAGACAGTGAGATAGCGCTGAACCCAGGGTGTCCTTTCTGGAAAAAAAAAAGTAGCAAGTGGGTGTTGCCTGTATTATTTTATGAAGAAATGCCTGAAAAGGTCAGGGGATGTGTTTTGGGTACCCCCACTGAGTCATGACCAAGATGAAAATGTGTTTTTATATACTCTTTGTAACCTTGGTTTTCTTTGAATAGATAATGTAATAATGAACCCCATTTAACATAAGAACAGGAGCCTTGAAAAGTTAGAATTTGATGATCGGATCAGTCAGCCGGCACTGTCACAACCACAATGTCACATCCAAGAGCCTCCCCTGCAGCTCCGCATGGAAAGCCTGGGTTCCGCCTGGGCTGAACCATGTTTCTCCTTTGGGCCCTGAGAAAGCAAGAGGGGCACGGCGGGGACAGATTCTCCCCTTCTCTGTGGCCTCCTTGGAAGAACAATTGAAGGTGTCTCTACACCCCTATGTTTTCATGTATGGGTCTTGTGAGCAGACATAGAAGAGATCCTTTGAAGCTGGATTTTACAGCTACTAAGGGGTCACTTCTCATCCCGTGCAAACGTCTTGTTCTTTAACCTGCCACTAATGCCCCAGATCCCATCACTACAGTTACTCCAGAACAGACAACATCCCTTCCAAGTGACTGTGTCTTCCCTTGAAAGAACACTTTCCACTTTCTGTACAACCTGCAGTGTGCCTCTAGGACACTTGTGATTCTACAATAAGTTTTTCCTTTATTCACTACGCATCCACGAATTCACCAGAGCAGAAGCTGATAGTCACTGGGCACCTACTACATGCCAGAAACTGCGCCCACTCACCTCATCTAGTCCTCATGGAAATCTTGTGAGGTGGCACTGCTGGCACCCCACTTTACAGTCTTAGGGGGCTTACATGTCCATGGTCATGTGACCACCAGGTGTCAGGCTGGGGTCAAATCCAAGTGTATATGACCCCACAGTCCACGAGAGCCCTGTTGGGTGCTCACAATGGAAAGTATGGAGGTTCCTGCCCATGAGGACCTAACTGTAGAAGTGGCTGTTATCTTCCCAAATGTGCTCTTACTAAAACTTCTTGAGTGGCCCATTTGCACCTAGGACATTTTTCTGTGTCCTTCTTCCAACTTTTTTCCAATATCTTTGAGCTGGCCTACCCACCCCTCACCCCACCATTCTGCTTTTCTCTCTCTTCCCACCTCTTCAGCCTCATAGACCCCCTCCCCTTGCCCCCTGTGCTCCATGCCCTCTGCCAAGGCTCTTCCCAGCACAGGCCTTTGCACATGCTGACTCTTCCTCCTGGACTGCTCTCCCTCCAGTCTGCATTTGACTAACCCCTCTCCTGCCTCAGGCCTGGCAGTGCGTGTTGGCTTCTCTGTTTCTCCCATCTCGATCCCCTCCCCTGCTGCACCTTCTCAGAGTGTGCTGTGCTGGTCCTCCCAGCACTTCTCACTATTTCTAGGTTTACTACAATTGGGGAGTGATCATTGTTATATGGCTGTCTCCCCCACCAGAGCATAAGCTTCACAGGGCAGGGACTTGTCACCATGCCTGTCACCATGCCAGACTCATAGTAAGTGTTGAACAGATATTTGCTGAACTAATCCAAGAAAAGGTGTAAGGATTGAGGAAAACAATAACAAAGCCATCTGACTTAGAAAACTGAATTCTGCCTTGTCTGGAAAGACCACCTTGGCCTTCTTTCCCAGGCCCTTGGTGCTGTGAAATGTCACCAGCAAACAGGTCCTGAGATTCTGCCTTAGACCTGCATGCCCAGTGATGTGAACAGAAAGAATGGACCATG